ACTAGGGAATGGGACAGGGTTAAATTCAGTCACAATGGAAGAGAGAGAGAAATATTACACATTCTCCACCCCACTTAAATGCCAAGCCAAAATTCTAAATTAAAGGGTTTTCCCATTTACAACTCTCCTAAATATATCTTAATACTGATTTTAGTTCACACTTTAGCTAAAATTGGTTTAAAAATATTTTCTGGCTGAATAAAAATCTGACTCAAGCTAATGTAAAATTGTTACATAATCTGTAATTTTCTACCAGTAAAAGCCTATGCCTGGAACTTTACTTTTTTTTTTTTTTTTGGCAGAGGAAGATTCACCCTAAGCTAACATCTTGTGCCAATCTTCCTCTATTTTGTATGTGGGTCACCACCACAGCATGGCCACCAACAAGTGGTGTAGGTCTGCGCCCAGGAACCAAACTGGGCTGCCGAAGCGGAGCATACTGAACTTAACCACTAGGCCACAGGGCCAGCCCCTGGAACGCTACATTTTTAACAAAATCATTTGGGAGCCAATATATTACACAGCTGGAAAGTCTCTGGGCCATTCCCAGCCAAAGCTGAAGGAGCAGTTCTTTGGTAACCACTTTTTATACCATGTTAACTCTTTCATTCTCCCTTCACAAGTTGGGAAAAACAACAAAAAAAGTCACAACTCAAGCACATTCATTTAACAAACTCATTCAATAAGTATTTAGTGTGTTTCTGCTACACAGCAAGCAGTCAATACATCAGGTGACCAGTGTTTGTTTTACGATGGGGCCTGGCTTGAAAAGACAAATTGAGCCAGTTTTCCTCTTTTGAAAATCTGAGCCAACAGATATTAAGCTAGTGAGGCATTTCATGTAGAAGTTGGAGCTGAAAGACTACCATGTGGAGTGTGCCTAAGAGGCACATGGTAGGCAGAAGTTCAGAGAAGGCAGAAACAAAGACTAAGCTATGGAGAGACAAAGAGTGGACAAAACTATAGATTCCTTTGAGGGAGAAATCACAGGGCCCACAAAAGACAGATGGAGAAGGTCTCTCCCCAGAGCTGCCCCACTGGTTCTTGAGGTTCCAGTTTCATTTTCCAATCATGTATAGAGTACAATTGGCTTCATTTTCTTTGGGTACTCTGAGTGATTCTCTGCTTCTCAATCCAAGATGAGCCTAAGTAGAAACTGCAGTTTGAGTGATTATTTCACCACACATTTTTATGAGGACACACAGCACTCTACAAATACTAACAGACTATGGTCCTTACCCTGAGTACACGTCTGTACTCAGAACAAATCATGTTGATTTACTTTTCCATGTTTTCACATTTCTTCTCTTCTTCGAATCCTCACTCTAAGGAATTAGCTGTAGCCTGAACATGTAAGCCTTGAGGAGGCAGTGAAGACCTAACTATCACTGATATTCCCACCTAAGAGGTTCTAGTGGGGGGACAGGCAGTGTGACCAGTTAGAAGATCATTGGTTTTACAGTTGTTAAAACCTTAGTTCTGAGTTCTTGCTCTAGCACTAGTCATGTGACTTTGGCTACACTATATTCAGCCTTCAAGTCTCAGTTGATGTCAATCAAGGTAGTGTAAAACTATATCACTCTCAGGTAGATGTGGAAAGACTGTATGTAGCAGCAGCTAGAACCAGCACACTGTAGACAGTCAACAATCCTCACCCCCATGTGTGACTTGCCCAAGAATACATGTTTGGAAATGATCAGGCATCTTTTCTGGGACCCGTTCATAACTCACTTGTATCCTCCAGTCCATGCATTTTTCTGTGTTCATGAAAAAAAATTCAGGTGATATTCAAGCCTAGACATCCATTATTGTCCAGATTCTTCCTGAAGATACTGCTCTATGTTCTTTCCTTCCTGATATCCCAAGGTACCTTCTTTTATCATTTCCTTTCTTCTTAAAGAACTTCTTTTAGCGATCCTTTTAGTTCTGGTCTCCTGGCAATAAATTCTCTTAGTTTTTCTTAGGCTAAGAATGTCTTAATTTCCCCTTTATTCTTGAAGGATATAGAATTCTGGGTTGATAGTTCTTTTCTTTCAACAGTTGAAAAATGTCCCACTTCCTGAACTTGATGGTTTCTGGTGAGAATCTATTTTCATTAGAATTGTTTGTTCCCTATAGGTGAGATGTCATTTCTTCCTTGTTTTCAAGGTCCTTTTTTTGTCTTTAGTTTTCAAAAGTTTGACTAGGATGTGTTTTGATATGGATTTCTTTAGATCGATCATATTTAGGGTTCATTCAGCTTCTTGAATCTGTAGGATTATGTCTTTTGCAAAAATTGGGAACTTTTCAGACATTATTTCTTTTTCATCCCCTCCTTCTCTGGCACTCTGAAGACATGAATGTTAGATCTTAGGTTATAGTCCCACAGTTCCCTGAGGCTCTGTTCATTATTTTTTTCAGTCTTTCTTCTTTCTGTTGTTGGATTGGCTACTTCATTTTTTTTTTTATTATTATTTTCTTTTGAGGAAGATCAGCCCTGAGCTAACATCCATGCCAATCTTCCTCTTTTTGCTGAGGAAGACCAGCCCTGAGCTAACATCTATTGCCAATCCTCCTCCTTTTTTTTTTTTTTTCCCCTTTTTCTCCCCAAAGCCTCAGTAGATAGTTGTATGTCATAGTTGCACATCCTTTTAGTTCCTGTATGTGGGACGCCGCCTCAGCATAGCCAGACAAGTGATGCATTAGTGCGTGTCCGGGATCCAAACCCGGACCACCAGTAGTGGAGTGCACGCACTTAACAGCTAAGACACGGGGCCAGCCCCAGATTGGTTAATTTCTATTGCTCTCTCTTCTAGTTCACTGATTCTTTCTTCTGTTCTCTTGATTCTGCTGTTGAGCCCATTAACTAAGTTTTGCATTTTAGTTATAATTTTCAGTCTTGAAATTTCCATTCGGTTCTTCTCTATATCCTCTGTTTCTTTGTTGAGACTTTCTGTTTTTCATTTGTTTTAAACATGTCTGTAATTGCTTGTTAAAGCAATTTTATGATGGCTACTTAATCTTTGTCAAATAATTCTAATATCTCTGTCATCTTGGTGTTGGCATATATTAATTGTCTTTTACCATTCAGCTTGAGGTCTTCCTGGATCTTGGTAGGAAGAGTGATTTTCAATTGAAACTTTGACATTTTGGGTATTATGCTAAGAGACTCTTGATCATACTTAAACCTTCTGTTTAAGTTGGCTTTCTTTGACACTATCCTGGCAGAGGAAGCAGAGGATGCTGCCTTGTCACTGCCCAGGTTCCCTACTTAGCCTCCTTTGACACTTGTTATTGCTGGGAGAGGATGGGAGTTCTGGCTCCTCACCAGGGCTCCACTAATACCTTCCTAGCTAGGAGGGGCAGAAGTGCCTTGTTACTAATCCCACTTGGCCTTTACTCACACCATGGGTGTCACCATGGTGGTGGTGGAAGGACAGTGGTCTTGTTACCACTGAGTGGTGATGAAAAGTCCTGACTTTCCACTAAACCACCTCTGACACTACCCCAGCAGGGAGGAGAAGGGACACCTCATTACTTTCAGGTGAGGTGGAAATCCAGGCTTCCCACATTGGGGAGCTTGTTACTGCCCAAGGGGGATACTGGGCTGCCTTGTTACAGCCTCATGAAGGTGGAAGTCCAAGACCTCACTTGTCCTTTGCGTGTGTGGATGGGGGCAGGGCCACAGTTTTTACCTGTGATGTTTGGCTAGAGTAGAATAGATATTATCTAGAAGTTTTCTGTCTTTCTGGGCTGCCCTTTTCATGGTTCTTTGGCTAGAAGGAGCAGATTTTTTCGTCTGTACTTGCTGTTTCTTGGTTTCTGACTTCTTTGGATCCAATTCTGGGATATATGAGGCAAAAAGAAACCCCAGGAAATACTACCGTGTTGTTCCTTGGGTCCTGAATGCCCTAGCAAGATTGTCTTCTCTCCACTTTTCAGAGTCTCTTTATGTTAGTTTTACATATAAAGATTTTTCATTATATTTAGTCGGAAGCATAGGGAAAAGTACATCTACTCCATCTTCTTGGAAGCCGAAGTCTGCCTCCATTAGCATTTTGATACATGTTATTTCCACATTAGATTGTATTTCATAAGAGGATGTTAACTCTGATCATCAAACTGGCAACACAAGATATTTACACTCCACTTCCTTGCCAGAGAATATAAGTGATGCTAGACTCTCTGCTTTCCAGTTACCATCAATGCTAGGTAGTAAGAAGTCATATTAATAGAGGATTACCTGAGTGGTCATGGCCTAGTCATCATGTAAAAAATTTTATTCCTTGGTCAAGTCATATCATCCAAGCCTTCATATGTGGCCTCTCAGAGAAACACTTATGCAATAACATGCCAAGGCACTGTACTGGGCCTATGCTGAGCGACATTATAAAATGCAAGTGTATAAGTAATAAAAATTAAGTAATTTTAATGTAGCAATGCTATTAAGAGTAGAGTGTACCAGATCGCAAAGTATCCCTTCATGAAGACAATGGAAGAATTTCCCTTAGCTTTGTACCACAAGAAGCTGAATGACCAATTTATTTTCATATTTTGAAAGCTAGGAAGCCAGTAATTTCCTTGCTTTAGCTGTCAGGAAGTTCAGAGTCAAGTTTGTAATCCCTCCAGTATTTTATGGCATAGATTTTGTGTACTGGCCTTACTCTTGACTTCTTTTTATATTTCAACCAAGATTTTATTTTTATCCAGATTTCCTCATGTATTTGGTTTTTATCCAGTAGTACAGTATGCATTTTGGTACCTGATCTCTTTTATTTTAGAAACAGAGAGGTGAGCGAATACATTCAAAAAAGATAGAGGGTTTGTAAGCCCTCGGTAGGACAGGAAATGAACCTTAGGTTTGCTCTCAACTCACAACAGGAACTTAATGAATGGTGCCATTTTGGTCCAACACTGCCTCTTTCTCAAGAGATCCTATAAGAATATATTTGTTGTCACATACTTTGCACTGTAATTGTTAGGCAAAGATTTTTGAAGGGACAGACAAACACAAGTACTACCTGGAGGACAGAAGCACCACTGTGGAGAAACTGAAGACCACTTTCAGCTGAGTCAATTCCACCGGTAGCCAAAATGGGAAATCCAGGCAAAGCACGAGCAATGGCGGTCACGGCCCTCAAAGCAATGGGTCTGATTGCTGTGCCTACAGAAAATGAGAATGATCAATGGTTAGCATATTGACCTCTTGAGCATATTGCCTTATAATCACTGTCATGTGATGGCAGAGTTGTACTAGACAAAATTCAGATCTCTTTAGCTCTATTTAAGATATATACATATGTAATACACAAACATCGTTATGTTTCAAAGTATGTTAATTTGTAAATGGATGTGCATTTATTTTAAGGACTCTGATGCTATTATTGCACGCAGACGTGTTATGCAAGTGGGTATAGCAACCCTAGAAGTCGCACATAAAATACATGCATATTATAATTTGAAATACAGTAATGTATAAAAGATTGTATGGAACATTCAAGCATCTGTTTTAAAAAGAACAAGGAACAGCAGATTTTGAAAAAGAAAAACAATCATATACAGTGCATAAACAGACATACAGCTCTGCTATGTTTCTAAGTAGAAAGCAGCTGGTGTGAACGGAGATACGGTAAAAACAAGCAAGGTGCTGATGAACTTACAGCTTCCCTATTGCTTTTTACAAGTATTTCCCATAATTTGATAAAACATGGTGAGCCTAATCTAATTTTCCATATATTAGAAAGTTTTAATCACATTAAAGAGAATTTATGAAAATTCAGTAGAGAGTATGTGTTTAATTTTTTATACTTTATTCAGCCAGACATTACCAATATATTATTCCTTAATTGTAGTGAAAACTGCATGGGTGGACAGAACACTTTGGGGTCATTTTTAAAATGATTATACTATAATAAAGCTGCTTTCGACTTTCAAGGGTTAACACATCCTGGAGTAAATTAATCTTTACATAACATAGCAATATAATTTGATATTTCTAGTGTATATTCATAAGCTAATGGTCTTTAAAGGCATTTTCTGAACTAAAAATAGTTCTATTTGTGCAAGAATTTGACATTGTCTCAAACTGGGGCTCCACAAACAACAGAAGCAAGCAACTGGTAAAAGCAGCCTCATGCGGTGAGTACTGGATCATCATCTCCAACACCACAAGCATCTTCACCAGCATTATCAATATGTATTCATTGGAGTGCTCACTTAAAGGAAGCACAAAAAACTTAAAATCAGTGGCTTTCTTTTTATCCTGTTCATATCCATTTCACATAAAAGTGAATTTATGTGTAACTGATGCCTTTGCACTCAACACCAAAAATATTTGTGGAAATGTCTACTTACTGCTCCCACAGCTACAAAAGCTTCCTCTAGATATTAGTGTTTCTTAGTCAAGAATGTTCAATGCTGACACTTCAGATTTCCATAACTGACATTTAAATACAAGGCATTAAGTTAGGGCAAATTAGAAACTGAACATCAATATTCTATTTTTATTTCAAAATATTCATCAGTGACTTCTTCTTAGTTTGTATGTTTTAACCATAAAGAAGGCCATCATAGTGGACAGGAGAATGTGTAGCAGAAAACCATACTCACATTTACGTACACAAATCTTTAGCTATACTAAAAAGAAATCTAAGTAAGAAGAAAAGTTAAAGGAGAGCATTTTTAAGGAAATCAGTAAGTTAAACCTTTTAGATAGACATACAGCTATCCGCATAATATTATTGACATGTTCAATACATATTAAGCTGATGGCTTCTGTACATACATCTTACTTTGAAGTAATAAAGAAATATTGGGATTCTTTTTTTTTCTTTGTTTAGTTGACCCTAGAGAGTAAAGGAAATTTGAGCTAAGCAGATAAATAATTTATTTCTAACTGCACTGTTAGAAGACTATCATTAACATTAAGGGATAAAATTTCAAAGTGGTACACAGGGATTTGGCCACATATTCCAATTGATATTAATGGACATCAAATGGCAAAATCCCAGAACACAGCTTTGAAAATTTAACCAGTTACATTTAAAGGGCAACATTATTACACAGGTGTTAAAAACATCAGCAAATCCTCAGTGGCGTTTAAAGATGTTCAATTAGGTCAATAAGACATTTTCTATTTCATGTTTTTTTTTTCTTTTCTAAAACTTTTCTAATCTGCCTAATGAACATGAAAACCTTTCACACTAATAAAAGTATTTTTTTTAATTAAAAATAATTATGTTCTCTGAGGAAATGTGATCTCAAAACAAAGAAATGGATCTTTCTGTTGAGGAGTAATAGTAAATTCAGTTTTTATTTCCATCATAAATTCCATTTTATTAGTTTTCTTTGTAACTCAACTGATTTAATATGAAATATTATCTACCTGTTCTCAGCATTTTTATGGGGAATACGTTTTAAAGATGACTTTTATCCACCATAAAAGGTTTCTGGAAGGAAACTGAAAGCATATAAAAGGACCTTTCTCAATTGTTATATAGAAATTTCTTTTTAGTTTTAAAATGACAGAAATGAAGAAATAATAGGTTCAAGATAAAAATAAAACCATTGATGTAAAGAAAAAATATATATCAATACTATGCAGAGTTGTATATATGCCAATTAAAACACAAATATTTCCAGAATCACAGTTATTGAGATGAGTTGTTAAAATTTTGTCACTGCTACAGTAATTAATGATTTTAGACCAAAGACTAGGAAGGAAGAAGCCAGTATAAGAGGCTCAAGGAATTGAATGTGGATTCTATCCTTAAGGAAATAATAAAGTTTAAATCAAGAAACTGAAATCCTATAAGCTTAAATGAACTAATAGGCAACACGCAATTTAAATTAAGGCCTCGTCTACATGAGGTGGTCACATGAACCTGATGGAAATTCAGTTACATCAAGCCATTCCATTTCAACTGTGTAGAACGCCCCAGTGAAAATCAAGCCATTCTGAATCCCCAAATTTTGAAACAAGCTGCAGGTTTGAACAAATAAACAAAAAGTGAACTGGACCTTTGAGTTCCAACATTACTACCAAGAGTTCTGATTTGTACTGAAGCAGCCCTAGTGGAAAAGCTAGCGGACTAGACTGAGCTGTAACTTTTGGTATCTAATCAATCTAGGCCTTCCATATAGTCACATCTTAAAATACAAATCAGTGTGCTGAATTCATAGATCTTCTTTGATAAACTTCACAGAAGATTTTTGGATTGATTCATGTTCTAGAAAAACATTTTAGTAAGCCAGAGATTTTTAATTATAAGTTAATCATTCTGATTTTGATGATTTTTTTCCTTAAGAAAATACCTTCACTCGGCAAATATCATTTTAAATGAAATTTCAAAAATGCTACCATTAGCCATGGTATTATATAATAGTATATGTAAGTATGAACATATTATGACTTAATCAGGTTCCTTGCTCAGGCCTCATTTGTCCATTCATCTGTCCATCTGTCTATCCAATAAATATTTATTAAGCACCTATGTCTTTTTTAAAAAAAGATAATTGTATCGGAATCTGAAAAGCTTACAAGAACAATCCCAGTTAATCAGTTTGTGTCCTAATCATATTGTCACGCAGGATAGATACCCCAAACCAGCCCTGATGATCTTAGGAGGTTGTTTCAAGGTAAATAATATGAGTCCAATTACTCATTCTCCTAGGAAAAATTCACATTCATTTAAACATTATATATTTTATAAATACTGTTAATACGAATTTTAGAAGGAAGGCAATTTCCAGATGAACTAGTTACAATATCAAACAGACAACAGAGCCAACTGCTTAGCTTTGAATTCTAGCTCCAATGCTCACAAGCTGTGTGACGGTGAAAATGTCTTAATCTTACTGTACCTCTGTTTTTTCACCTATAAAATAACAAAATTGTAATAACTTCACAGAGTTGTTTTGAGGATTAGATGATATATATAAAGGGCTAGCGCATAATAAAAATTGTACAGGTGTTTGCTATTATAATAATCTGTACTACCCACAAGGACAATTGATTTCAGAGGGAGCATTTATTTAGTTTACTTTGACAGTGCCTTCTATGCTGTTGCTGTGTGTTTAGTAATGCAATGAACCAATTTTTTTATTAGAGAAAAAAGCATAATGCCTATGATGATAGAAAGTTATATCCTCCGAAACTTTAGGAGAACCACACACCTCCCCTCCTTTTTCTCCTCTCCTAACAGCTCTCATTTAGCAGTGTGATTGGTAAATTACTGTAACTGATTCCAGAGGTAAAAACTTCAAAGGCAGACATCAATATATTTAAGATTTTTTTTTTTTGAGAATCAAAAGGCCCATGCAATAAACCAATATACAAGAATTTTAATGACAACATCAGAACTCAAGTTTATTGGTGAAAAGGAGGCAGAGCTTTACTTTGCATGATTAACGCCTTGAAGAGAAAAGGAATTTTTAATGGGCAAGATAGTGTGGAACATATGCTAATTTTGGATAACTGGAATTTTGAATAATTGAGTTTAATTCTGTTTTTTCCCTAATCATTTGACTCCTAGGACAGCTACTGTTACACAATTAATTGTTAGAGCTAAGTCCACAATAAACTCCCTGATAATAGCTCTAGCTGGCAATAAAAGAGAAATTGGGTTATAATACTCACTCGTGCTCACTGTGTATACAAAAAGAAAATGTAGTTTTAATTTGCTTACATTAATTACAATATAATGAATTAAGTGGATAACAAATTCATTAGAAATTGAACTTTGACTAATTGTTAATAGTTTTAACATCAATCAGAAGAAAGAAAATATTAGCAAATCAAGAATTTCAAGGATTTAGGAGTTGAGAGATTGATTTTTATTAAATACACATAAATCAAGCACCAAAAAATTTACACTTTACTAAAACAAGTTTAAAATGCTAACGAACTTAATATACTGATAAATATGTAAAGCACAGCTATTTAAAAATACATCTTTACACGTGAATTAAAGTCCTCTGAGAGAATTAGCATAATTCAACCAGAAACTAAAGTACTAAAAGGATCCAGGGTTACATGTAGAGATATGAAATCTAAAGAGGAGAAATGGGAGAAAGAAAATCAATTGTTTTTTGTTGTTGTTATTTTAACTTTATTGGAAAAGTTTTTCAGCTTTCTTATGAAAATGTTTTAATTTCAGTTGAATA